AGCCTTCATTTCAAAATGCCTGTGCTTTTTCCTATCTCTAATAATCCCTTTGCATAGAACAGTTGCTCAAGAAATATTCTTATTGTCAATTAAGCAAATTAGTAAAAGTTACCTCTTGGCTTTTCCTCACCAAAGGTTTTCATTTATCTCAGGCAGGCATTTTGAAAGTGCCATTGGCTGCCAGAAGGACAAACCCATGCAGTCTTGGAAGATGTACATTTAGAATGCTCCAGAGAAGTGAGGGTGGCAATCCTTACTTTGTATCACACACTTTCAACATGTTATCAGAAAAAGACTAAAAATAAAAACAAGAATAATCAAACCTCCTGCCACTGAGTGGATTCCAACTCATAGTAACTATACATCACAGCACACAACTGCTTCATTGGGTCTAAATATTTGAATGTTTACAGGGTTAGGCAGCCTCATCTTTCTCCCGCTGAGCATCTGATAGGTTTGAACCACTGACATTGAGATTAACAGCTCAGCAGGGACTCGGTATACTACCAGACCTAAAAGGACATTAGAGTTGGTAAAGTGGATGATCAGAGAAAGTGAGGAAGCACCTGAAGGAGATGAATTAACATAATGACTATAACAGTGGGTCTAAGCATAACAACAATTGCGATACTTGGACAGGGTTTTGTTCTGTCCTACATAGTTTTACCATGAGTCAGAGCCAACTAACAACCAGGTATTCATGATAGTTGGGGTGAGAAGGCAAGGAGAGCAGGAGTTTTCAAACGTTTGCTTTGTTATTATGTGTGGTTTAGTAAAGTTGGGAATTTAACACTCTCTGAAATTCCACATTACACAGTCTAGACATAGTTTCTGCAATTCCCACTAAATGACTTTTTCTTGGTGGGCCTGGGCAGGAGAAGGTTCGGGGGAAGATACTGAGAGACTCCAACTGTGAGAACTCTTAACTGGATTAATAGTGAGGGACAACTTCCGCATATAAAATGAGCCTTCTCAAAAACTAAATGGGGGCTTTTCCCTGGCTTCTTTATTTTCATCAAAGTCTTATCTATTGATGTATAAACCATATTTCTTCTTTATTTTTCCTTATATAATGGTAATATTAAATGTTTATAAGATTGAGTGAGTCTTCTAAGCATAATTCCATCCTGTTTTATCCATGTCTTTAGGGGTTAAAGAGAGTTATCACTGTTTTTATTCATTCATAAAACTCCAAAATATGAAGTTACAAGAGCTTGTTTGTCCATTCGTGTAGTATTAAATTAAAAATGTCGCAGAGGGAGGTGGGGGGAACCAGCCCCCACCACTAATCCTGGGTTTAGTAATGCACAATTGTATGGTTGAGATATATAAGTATTATATTAAAGTCATCGAGAGCATGAGATATTACAATAATGCAGTCAGACACATTACATGGTGGCATTGCTCACCTCAGCCCAGCTTGGTGGTCCACGTGGAGAGAGGGGGAAGGGAAGGAGGGCAAGGGAACAAGGGAGAGGGGACAGGAGAGGAGAGGGGGTAAAGAGAATCAGAGAGGTCCGAGTCTGAGAGCTCTATATTGCTGACTCACGCCTATATACCTTTTGGGGGCATGCCAGCCCACTAATTACAGGTAGAGACATACGGCACAGGAAGGGGCTGCACTATAGGTTACACAGTAATGAGAGGGTGGTCTAGGGGCATACATGCAATAGGAAGAGGAGGGACAGCCAGTTTGGCCTGGCCCTGGCCCAACTGATAGAGACCATTATCAGTAGGATGCGAACTCTGCCCACAGGAGCCTGTCCATTGTCCCTAGCAGCAGGGAGCAGGCCCACCCGTGTGTTGGGATGAGACAGCAGTCTGGCAATTGATTGCCTTCAGGGGAGGGAATGCCTGCGCATCTGACCTCCCCCCACACATTCCTTTATAGTTGGGTTTTTTGTTTGTTCCCAGGTTTTTGCTATTGTGGAAATTGCTGCAATAAACATTAGTATACATATGTCTGTTCATGCTATATTCTCTATTTTGGGGGGCATACAGGGGTTATGAAAAAGAAACATCAAAAAGCGGAATTGTGCTAGGCGGAGCAGAGCTTTGGTAGTATTCATCGAGCAACTCACGCTGAGTCAGTGCATCCAGTGCCGTCACCTGGAAAGGTTTTCTCTGGTCACAGATAATTTTTTTTTGTAAAAGCAGTTTCACTCAAAACTTGTTTTTTGTGATAGACAATTTAGTCACAGAAACCGTTGTGATGTTGAACATATCTTCCAAAAACAGCCCTATGGGAAAAAACTGAAGTATATGAGTGGTTCCAAAAAAAGGTGGCATGCTGTTTGATGACAAAATTTGTCCTGGGCTTCCATTAACTTCCTGAACAGATGAAAATATTGACTGGTAGTGACTGTTAATCAAGGTTTCTATTTAGAGGTTCTAAAAAAGTTGCATAACAGTGTGCAAGAAAAGAGGCATGATTTTTGACAGGTGGAGGACTGGTTTTGCAATCACAAGAATGCACCTACTCATGTGGTTATCTCAATGTGCCAGAATGGGATCACAGACTTGACAAATGTATTAAGTGTAATGGAAAGTACTTTAAAGGCGATAAGATTGTTTTGTAAAAAAAAAAAAATTAATACATATCTTTGAAAGAAAAATTCTGATTTTGGGGGGTAGCCCCTCATATACTTATAGAGTGATAGCTGGATCATTTGTTTAAGAAAATGCCACACTGATTTTCATAGTGGTTGTACAATTTTACAGTCCAACCATAAATGTGAAAGTATTTCTATCTCTTCACATCCTCTCCAGCATTTATTTTCTAGTTTCTTGAATTTAGCTAAAAGTATTAGTGTGAGGTGATAACTCATTGTTTTGTATTTCTCTTATTGCTAATGATCTCAAACATTTCTTCATATAGTTGTTAGCCACTTGTATGCCATCTTTGGTAAATTGTCAATTTGAGTCTTACACCCATTTTTGATTGGATTATTTGTGGGTTTTTATTTTCTTGTTAGATATGGTAGTTTTCGATAGAATATGGAGATTAGCCCTTTATCTGATGTATTATTACTGAATATTCTTTTCCCAATCTGTGGATTCTCTGTTGACCTTATTTTTGTTATGAATAACTCATTTTGGTTAGTTATTTTATCTTTGATAGTGTGCATATTTTCATTATGTTCAGTGGTGTGTTTATACCTTATATTAGGTTCCTTAAGTGTGCCCCTAGTTTGTTCATTGAGGATCTTAATAATTGTGTGATTTATAAGATGGGACTTTCTACTCCCTTAAGGATTTACCATCTTGGAAATCCACAAGGTTCTACTCTGCCCTATCGGTTTGCTATGCGTTGAAATGGACTCCGTAGCAAGGAGTTCCTGCTCTACACCTGCTCTAAATCAATGCTCGCTGAGGGCACAGTACCACGGGAGGCGTTTAGGCTATCTGTAGTCAGGAGGACAGCCCATTTTTGTCCGATGGAGTTGTTTGAGTGATGCTCCACACATGGCTAGAACTTTGACTTTTGAGCTGTTAGAAAGTTAAACACCACCATCAAGTACCGGGGTAATGAAAAATGAGTAATGCTTTTAGGAGAAGAGTGTCTGCTTCTTCTTGGAGCTCAGAGTAGCAAATTCATGCCTCTAGGATCTCTACCTGATTCTTAGGGATAAAGGATAGGTTGATATAAACCAGGGTATAACCCATTCAACCCAAACTCCTCTACCCAGCAGATGCCATGTCTTTGACACTTGTCTTCAAAAGGTACTTCCTTCTCAGGTCTTTAGCCCTGTGCCCAAAGAGCCTCCTTTCCAAAAACCAAGAGATTCAGACCTATTTGAAGGCTAGCGGCACCTGACAATGAAGTGCAGGAGACTTTCTCTTGCAACCTTAGGATACTGGGCATACAGTGACTGGAAGTGAGTTACTGCTCCTGGAGGGAATATTTAATGATATTGCCCAGGAAATGTCGGGCATTTGGCTCAGACTCCAGGTAGGAACACACTCTTCTTGCCAACAGTGCATTTAGTTCTACTTCCACCCCCAGAGTAAAAATGATCAACTGATCAAGGCAGAGAGAATGCTGCTGCCAGAACAAATATGGACTCCTGGGGCTCCAAAGAGGTTAACACAGAGTGGCAAGCCCATGCTGGTCTTTTCATTAACAAACATGCATCCGGCATCTGGCAGAGCTGAATGAGAAGCATGCTCTTTCATAAGAATTAGGTGTTAAAGACTAAACTACAGGCTGAAATTTGAGAGAGCACAGAAACAGACTGAGCCACTTCCCTGAAAGGAGTAACCACCAGTGACCTCAGGAGGAGGACCCAGATACTATCCTCATGGGACTCACACTGAACAAAAGGGGGGATCATCTGTCCAGAGAGGAGGAAGCTGTAAAGAATGTTTCAGAACCCACTGATTTAAGATGTGGTGATAATTCCATAACATACCATTCCTGTTTGAGTGTATAATTTCATGTTGAAAGTAAAATTAAACAATACACACACAATAAGACCCTAGTAATGTTTATAGTCCTGAGCTAAAGAAAGAACAATGCATGACCTACATGTATAATAACTATTAGAATCAGGAGTGCACATTGAAATAAAAAAATGGAAAAGAAAGCATCAACCAGTTGCATCATGGTGATTCTGATTAGCAAAATACTGTGTATCAGGGTGGAACTGAGGCCCACAGCTCTTTTGAAAAGTACATTTCCAGGCTTTTTTTCTGAGATGCCGCTGGGTAGACACAAATCTCCAAAAGATTGTAGTTAATAGCTGAGTATATTAACTCTTTGTACCACCTAAGGACTCTGAAACCCATATTGGACAAAACTAAAATGTCCATTTAAACTAAGGCTTTAATTCTATCATGTATGTACCATGTTACTTGTGTGCATGCAGTAGTTGGTAAAATGCCATTCCTGAATTGTATTACATTCAAGTGAAAGAAAATGATGATATTTTTAGCTACTGACATTAGGCTTTTTGTCCAACCCAAGACGCATAGCATAAAATATACACTCCAAAAGAGGAAACAATCATTTCATTTTTTATTGCTTTTGCATATATGGTGTAACATCAGCTGGGAAAATTCTCAGTGAAATAGAGTGATTTGAGTTAAAATGAAACTGATACATTGCTTCAGATAACACTAGATAACATCCAAACAAACAGTGGGTTACATGGGTGAAATAATTCAATTGAAAGCAAAATGAAAGAAAGAAAAAGAGGTTATCATTGATTCACTTAAGCACAAAAGGCATGCATGATTATAAACAAAAGGTATTTTTATTTCTATACCAATGTCTTACAGGTATTAAAAAATCTGTCCTATTTTCAGACAATTAAATCATTTTTATTGATTGATGAAATTAACTTTGAGGATAATGATAGACCAGAAAGGTACACAGGTATTTTAGCTGGAATTTATCTATAGCCTAACTATAAACCACACTGAATTGGCCATTACTGTAACAAGCAGACTACTCAGCCCCATTCTGCCTTTTGCAGGGTGAGATGCTGAAGCAAGAAGATCTAAAACACTTCAAATGCCACGAAATGTAAGTACTCAAGATATTGCTGCTATAAACATGGCTATTATTGTTTATTTTTACCTATCCCACACTGTCTTCCTTTAAATCTGCCTTCATAATGAGTTATAATGGGCATATTATCTTCAGAGATGTCACCAAGTTTAAGCTTGTCAAAGTTGTTGCTTGTAAAAGTACATAAAGGAAGTGATTCATTTTTGCAAAGTCACCAAGGTGCTAAAAACAGTCACAATGGAAAGCGGGGGCAGCTGGAAATTTTTCATTTGAAGTTTTAATTCATATCTAATCACCCAACTTGCCCAAGTAGATTTTGTTTTAAGCCTCAACTATTAGGTACTCAATTGGGCATAATATATGTCTAGTTTTGTTTTCGGGGACGTGTTAGTCATGGATATGGAGGAAAAACCATTATGCTGTCATTAGAACCAAAGAAATTTTCATTGAATAGACTGTAAAGGGGAAAAAAAAGACCTGATCACAGCTAAGTCTACAGTATGGTGACTAAATATCTCATATTCTATATACATGGACACATTATACAGCAACACATAAGAGAGCTGTATAATATGTTCATATAACATAGAATATGTTTTGCAAGCAAGATACTATCTAAAATATTTTTAAAATTAATTTTGTTTAAAGTCTCAATAAGGAGGAATTTTCCTTTTAACCCAGAATATGAACTCATATCTCCAACTTGCCCTTTTCTTCCTCAATAAACACTCCCATCTAAACCCGGTGAGATGAACCCACGTTAAGGGAACTTATCAGTTTGAGAAAGACTCTGAATGGATACCACGGAACTGTTTAAATGCTTCACAGGCACGAAAATCTGATTAAGATGCCCACAGTTGGCATGGGATTAGATTACACAAAATTATTTGAATAAACCACTACTCCTCTGTCAGTTTGTTTAATTGTTGATATGATCCTAGAAGCTTTTTCAGTGTCCCTGAGAGGCAGGCTAAGAACAAAGGAAGAAAGGCGTGGAGACCTACTTCTCAAAAGGAGCCCATGAAAACCAGATCAAACAGACACTGCCAGGTTGCGTGCTTTGGACAGGTCATTCGAAGGTCAACCACTAGAGAAGGACATTGTGTTTGGAGGCACGAAGGGCATATAAAAATTATGGATACCCTCCGGCAGATGCATAAGCACAGTGACTTCAAAGATGGACAAAATATTCTGGCAATTGATAGATGACATAAATCAAAAAACCCATTTAGGTCTATTGTAGGTTGGATCACCATGAGTCAGAGCGGACTGGATGGCAGCTCTATATCTAGCTGTTCAAATAGAAAAACAAATTACGTACAGGCTTTTGCATCACGCGTGTTTCGGTTGAGAGGAGCCTTTGAAAAGTGTCTAAAGACATCATGAAGGCCTGTAAGGCCAACTAACCAGAGGTACACATTAGAATTCTTCTTGAAAATGCCAATTGGAAAACTGATCTTTAAAATTAGACCATACCTTATGAGAAAGGAAAACACAGGAGACTGTTGTGCAATACTATTTAAGTGGCTTTTGTACATATGCTAGCCTGATAGGATTTTCCCATGTGATTGCTGGGAGTCTAAGTCCTTGTCAAGGACAAGTATCTTCTCCAAGGCTTCTTTTACTGACAGTTTGGAAGAGATACCAGGATGACTAAGAGTGAAAAACCCCAAATAAACACATTTCCAGTTAGAAGAAATATCTGTGACTCCATCAGAAGAAAGGCCAGTCAATAGTTTAACTCCCCGATGGACTGAGCTAGAGAGACATGTCCAGCACTCCAGCAATATGGCATAAGACGCCTTCAGTTGGTTCAGGCAAGAGGAATCAAGTGAAGTTGGGATAAAAAGGGAGGGTTGGGATGTAAAAAGACAAAGAGGAAGACAATTACCTGTAGTCAGTCAGGAAATAACGTTCAGATCTGTGATTACTTGAAGAAAACCTACATTTCCTATAGCTGAAGTTGTTTTGGAGTACAGACAAAAATGTTGCTTATTTGAATAACTATTAGCTCATGCTTCCCTGAGCAACATGATTATAAACACAGAAAATGCGTAGGAGTAAAGGAGGAAAGAAATTATTCCAGCAAATAGTTTTCACTTATTAATGCTAAAAATGGGATTAGTCCGATATCTCCAGCAAATATTTCTCCTCTGTGATAATGAAAATGATTTGTCAAGGGTTGTTGAACTTATTTTAGTTCTGGTGGCTACATATTTATTCCTATATATTTGATATCCTATGTTTAATTATTGAAAGTGAGAAAGTGCAACTAATTGCTTATGTGTCTGCATTTTATTTACACTGAATGAATGGATAATAATTTTAAAGGGTTTTTTTTTCCTATAATGTGACGTTCATAATCAAAATTTGGCTAACATTTGAAATGTGTATTTCATTTTCAATGAACACATTGAATCCCATTTTCCAGGACATCTGAATATTTGTTAGTTTACCGTTCAAACTCTGGAGTGTAACAAATCTCATTTAATGCTCCAATGAGATTTGGAGCAAAATACTTATTCATTATGTACCTAAGTTTTCAGAAACTATGAAATGGTGATATCAAACCCAACCAGTTACTATGAGAATTAAGTGAATTAATAGCATTTGACACAGAGTTGGAACAAAGAGCTTCCCATAAGCATGAACAATTGTTTATATTGTTACATAGTGTAGCCTAAGAGCAGTGCCTAGAACACTATAGATACTCAATAAATAGTCATTAGTTATGGATGCATAATTATATGTTCGAGTACAAATATTTTCACCCATGGCCACTAAATCATATCAGTCTGAAAAGGGATGGTATTTCTCTTTAGATAAACCACTAAATCATTTTAAAAGATTATATAGTTTATCATCATTCCCCCAACATGACTTCCCTCAAACCATCATATACAGGTCCTTTGTTCCTGCTCCCCCTGGAGCACGTTCCTCCCAGAACCGCAAGCTTCCTGAGGAGGTTCCTTCTAGAACCAAAACTCATCCCTCTGCTTGCTATAAAGAGTATCTACTTCTGCAACCGCTCGCCCCTCATATCTCATTTCCGTCCTCTTGTGCATTCTTTCCCATTCGCCCTTGGAGTTGGTTTACTTCTTTTTTGTTTTTGTTTCTTCAATTTGCTCAATTTGAAAATGAAAATCAGAGCTCTGTTCCGATAAACCAATGAGGACTGTTGGATATGGTGATGCAGTAATGAAACATCTTTGGCAGAGTGTGAGCAAGGGATTGTCCCCCCTCCACAGATGAGATTCTGCTAAAACTCTTTCCTTAGGAGATAGTTCTCTCAAATCGTATTATTTTGCTTTTGAACTGTTACTGTTCAGGAATGAATCTTATCTATCACTTTGGGGAAGCGAAGAAGTGATGTAATTAGTAAAAATCACAAAGATCTTAAATGATTCTTTTGCTTTAACAGAAACATGTATGCCCTGTTCATATACATTGATTGAAAATAGCAAACCATTAGATTTAAAATAATAACCCTTATGCTTTTCTTTGCGTTTAGGTGTCTAGAATAATTTTAACAGTTTTAATTAGGATATTTTTTGCTGCAGACTCTTGGTTTTAAGAACATCTGTATTCTTTTTCATAATTAGACCCAAAGGGCCTAAATGAAAATTCAAACTACTTTATATGTCGACAGTAATATTAACACTAAAAATATAATAGTGGGTTAGAGAGGTGGTCCTAGAGCTAGCAATGCTGTGGAGCTTTCATCTGAACACCTTGCTGTTTGGGGTGCTTTTGAATTGGTTCTGATGTATAGCAATCTGATATGCCCCAGAAATATTGCTGAATCCTGCACCATCCCCACAATCTGATATATAAATGAATATAATAATAGCTCAGACTATCATCATGTTTATATTTTACTCTAAGGTACTATTAAAGTAGTATTCAAGTTATAATTTTTTAACTGAATGCCCTAAATTTTCTGATCAAATAAAATATCTCTGACTTCCCAAACAGAAGTAGAGCAATCAATTCTTAAATATGCAGGAGACAGGCCATCTTGGCAAATGACAGATTGATAAAGAAAAAACATATTTCATTCCACTTCAGAATCTGGTGACTACTGTGCTGACCTAGAGAATTACTTACAATGATGCTGCAACAGGCAGGCAATTCAGCAGTGTATTCACAAGACAATGGTAGACAATTCTGCTTATTCTACATCTACACAGAACTCTGTCATCATGGAAACCATAACCTGTAGCATGGAAATGTGCATTTGACACCAAAAAGGATACCAGTGATGTGGGGGAATAGAAAGTACCAAGGGATACTGCTGCTGGAGCATTACTAGGAATCTTAACTAAAGTCCTATAGAATTGGAGTCAATTTATACATACTGAATTGACACACTAAGGAATAGGAGATGGGTAAGGTATGTTTCGGATGCAAAGAAATTATTTGCGATAGTTAACCGAGGTATGGATATGCCAACCCTACTGCCTCATTCTAGTAGAACACGAGGAGCGGTTGATAGGAAACTACCAAACCTAGGAATGGGACTGAAGCGAAGACGATCCTGAAATGATGGGAAGGTATAGGACCATCCTGAAGCTACAGGAAACCATTGCAGACACAAATCTTTTCAGCCATTCATGACTGAGTTTGAGGATATGTTATTTAATTGAAGCCTCAAATCGTACACTTAATTAGGTCCTCATAGTTTTAAACATATTTCTGTAATGCAACTTGAAAACAGACTCACTTAAAGGCTGATAAGTATGCCGCAAATGTGACAAGAAGAATGAGGAATACCGAATCCACTTAGAAACAATGAGTCCAACGGCATAATCATCCATATAAATCCGGTTCCATGACCTGAAGACAAGAAGCATTCAATGGGCCTTGGTGACCATGACCAATTGTTTTGAAAGGCATCACTTTAGAAGAATGAGAGAAAAATGTCAACCAACGCTTAAAATCATAAAAACGAACAGACTTACTGGTTGAATAGAAGATGGTAAAACCACCTGAGACCATGGCACTTAGCCATCATAAAACAACACCCGAGCTCAATTTCCAGTCAAATATTAGGCAAGTCTGTGAACTGAACAGTAATACTAGAGAGAGATGCACAATTTAGAATAATAAATAATTCAAGTTTAGCAGAGTAGCATTTGACCAAGGTCAAAGTCCAGAGGGCAAAAAGGTTAAGATAAAAGGAAAAATACAACCAGGAAACAAGGATATATAATAAGATAAGTGACACTAACATTGTGGATATTGCAATCAATGGCATCTAACAAAATGTGTATGAATCTGTTGAATGTAAAATTGATTTTCTCTGTAAGCAGACACCCAATTCACAATTCAAAAAAGAAAAAAAAGAAAAAGAGAATAAGTCCCTCCATGTATCTCTGAAGGTACTTACTCACTCTTATGGGGAGTGTATGTGCTATAGTGATACTGCCAAATTGAAGGAGTTTACAAAGACAAGAAGGGACACTTACAAACAGGGCAGTATGTTGTGCTATCTAATACATTCCTAATTTGCAAGCATGTCTTTAAAAAAGCACAACAGGAGAGTATAATTTAGCCTAAAAATTTAATCTGTTATTTTTCTCCAGGTATATTGACAAAGCTATATCCAAAAGTCACATTAGAAAGAAACATATCTCTATCAAATAATTTTCATTTGATAAATAAAAGAAAATATTTCTGCTCCTAACCTTGCATGTTTATGAAAATCTTCTAGTTTTTCTAAGGAGAAGAACCTTTAATGGGCTATGGTTCTATGGATATTTCCTGAGTTAACTATAATTTCAGTCTATTTGACAGTCAAGAAAGAAGTTGTCCTTTAAGTTATCTAAAACCTCTTCTCTTTCTGAGGACTTTTTGCTTAGACATATTAACAGAAAAGGATTTCACTATAACAGAAACCGGGGTTTCGATTAGTAGGATTAAGCAAATATCAAGTTCTGTTATGTTACTTCAAAAGCACATAAATGAAACACCAAAACACTAATTTTCAATAAGAAAGTCTAATATTCCTCTGAAGAAGTAGGATTTTAAAATAAATGTGTCTATAAAAGCCATGCTTATTTAGCATATTAATTTACCTATGAGTTACAATACAAATATTTATTCATTTTTTCTTAAATATAAACATTTATATGTATCAGAAATTTTAATCTAGTTGAATGTTAAATAATGCTGTGCTGCCAACTGCAGGAATTCACTCAGGTAAGCCAATGTCTTTTCAGTTCTACGGATATTGCATTTATTGAACCTGTAAGTACTCAAGCACATCTTCCTCTTGGGGCAGTTAGTTGATAAAAATTGAATTTGGTTTTCAAATGTAGTTGCTTGCTTTGAAATTAGCTTTACATCTATTGACAGTGGGGAAGAGTCCTGTTCACATATATAAAATACCCAAACCAAACGTGCTGCAATCAAGTCCATTCTAACTCAGGTGAGCCCATAAGACAGGCGGAACGATCCTTGTATTTCTAGACGATGATGCTCTATGGGAGTAGAAAACCTCATCTCTCTCCCATGGAGGGGCTATGTTTTAGAACCGCTGACCTTGCTGTTAGCAGCCCAATGACGAACACCTATGCCACCAGGGTTCTTTTCATTTGGTAAAGAGATCTATATTAATAATTGTATATTTTCAAGTTATTTCTGCTCTATTGGCATCCAAGGCTACATTCAAAGTTTCAGTGTGTAACAGAGGGTCAAATTGACAGGAAAATTTCTAAATAAGACATGTTTCTTGAGCATGAAGTTTTAGAAGCTAAGATATCTCTAGTGGTGTTCTGTTTTGCTCTTGCTTTCTTATTTTCTGAATGAAATAATGTCACTTTTCTAACAGAAAAAAAAATCATGCCACATAGGGCATTCTTGTGATGTGTAAGCTTAGAAGAAAATAAGGTAACAAACTTCATTCTGACCCTACTGGTCGAGATCATTCCAGAAAATTGAATTTTCTATGTATTCTAATTCTCTCCCATGCTTCCATTCTCTTTTGGGGGAGTGGAATCTCTTCAGAATCGTTATTATGGACTAGTCCATAGTGAACCATAGAGAGGAGCACATTGCCTTTACCCTAAAGTAATTTTATGCACCTAGCATTTGGAAAAATAACAATTTATTACAATAAAATAAACATTTTCCCTAATTAGTAATAGCCCATTAAATATGTCCTTTTTTTCAATTATATTGTATTGCTGCCTTTTTGTTCAATATCTCATATACAGTATTTTATTAACATTTATGGATTTTTAGGTTTCACTCATCAATTTGCTGAAACTCGTACTCCTTACATCAACTGGTGTTGCGTGTATGAATGCTGCCTCATCAACCTATAATGATATGATGTTGAAGCAACTCATCAGAAGTAATTTTGGGTACAAATGAGAAATTATAATTATAGTGCTGTCAACATAATGAAGTAGAATAGGGAATGCATATTTAAAATGTGAATGGAGCCCTGTGTTTGAGAATAAGTGAAACTGAAGCTTAACTCCTCCAAAGAACTTATGGAAACCCCATACAGAAAGAATATCCTGCTAAAGAAAGAAAGAGAATCAGTGGATCATACACTAGAACCATACTATTGTGAAGGCAATTATAAATTCAGCTGATGAGCACAGCAACTGATGTGGCAAAATGACCCCAATGGATTTTATTTAAAAGAATGTTATTAAAATCATACCAGTTACATTGCCATTAACTCTACCTCATAGTTCAAGCACAGTTATATTTTACTCAATGCCAAAAAGTTTTCAATCTGGACTTTTCCTTTTAATTACAATTGCAAGCTAATACAAATTGATTTTTAGTCATGCAGAACACCTTATACTCTAATCATAATTCATTCTCATAGTTATCTCCATTTCCCAATTGCATAATAACTCTTCCTCCATATTTGTTTGTTCATGAGACTCTCTGAACCCAACCCTCAAAAGGCAGAATTGCTGAACACTGTGGAACACTAAAAGGCATATTTGTGGCGTCCAGAACCATTGTAATTTTATAATGTTAATCAAGCAATTACTTAACGGTCATGGCTGACTTTTGAAATCCAGGAAATAGCTCAACTACTCACACTTGGTTAGCTATTTCTGAAGGATGCTAGCTTAATCCGTTGACAATGCATACAGATAAATACTGAATTTCTTTTTTTTTTTTTTTTTTTGGTAGTGGGTACTATAAATTGCTGCCTGATTAGGTCATGTAAGCACAGCATGGATATTAAATGGCTGATATTTTACAAAATATTTTGCTTCCCTTGAAAACCAAGTCAAGAATTGATGTGTTTGTTTTAATTCAAAATAAAGGGTAGGTATGTTTGAGCTATTGAAGGAGAGCTGAATACAACTTCCAGTGTGTTCATTTGGTAATGAATATAGGATATTCCCTGTGACGGGAAAGGTTGAATGACAACAGAAATGTCCATGCATTCAACCAGATCTATTGATTTCCTATTAATTACTTGCTATATAGAGATGAAATGACATGGTCCCATATCCAAGTTGTTTTCATTGGGACAGCTTCCAAAAGAGTATATCATTTGTGTGTTAAATGCCAAAATGTACTGAGCTTAAGGAATTAATCAAGTGTCAAAACCAAACAGTGCAGTTAGCCAATACTTTGTAATATGGGTGCTAGAGAAGAATAGTGGTCTCAGTAGAATTGTCTTCCTCTAAATTCACTCATGACTTGCACCGGATGGATTTTTTTCTTTGCTGAACCGCGCCTGACAGCTGCACACGTTTCCTCTGGCTTTTCTCTTTTAATCAAGGGCTTTTTCGCAGGCGCCTTCATTCGCCACGTCACAACTGGGTGCCGGGGCCCAGCAGGACTCTGGATCCGAATGATCTTCGTTGAAGCAATATAAGACATTTTCACTGTTTGCACTACAGCATTCATTAAATTTTTGGCTGCTTGAATCAGAGAGGTGACACTGTCCAACTATAGGAAAAAAAGAGAAAAAAGCCACATTGATTTATTTATTCAAGATTATAATAGAAGCTGGATTCTTCTTAACCCTCAGTAAGGAATGAGTTAATCAGAACTTTATATACTTATGTATGATTATTTACATCAACCTATATTATACATTATTTTTTACTGTGGTGGTCTAAATAAACCTAACAAACATACCCAATCCAACAATTTATACATGTATAAATCAGTAACATTGATTATATTCTTCAAATTGTTCAGATATTCTACAAATTACTTTTCTAACTTATTCCTCAAATATTAATATAAATTCACTACCCCATAAGCCAAAAAAAAAAAAAATCCTCCCTTTTATTCTACATCATAAACACTCATCGTTTTTGGTTCTTATGGTGGGAAGGGGCCTTTAAAATTTTGGTGAAAAAAATCTATTATCTTTTGAGTCCATTCTCCATGAATATTTTGAGGTCTCCTCAGATATTTGCTTAGGGAGCATGGATGCCTGAGAGCCTGGCTGCTCACCCAAAGGTCTGCCCCTGCAGTGGTCTCTTATTCTGGGGGAGGAAGGTGTGATGATTTGCTTCAGTAAATATCACAGCCTTGGAAACTCCAAAGAGAAGTTCATGGTCCTTAGGCACCAGAATTGACTTGGCAGTAGTGAGTTTTGCTTTGTTTTGGTATATATTCACTTAATCTGAGTGTGATTTTTACAATATCACGCTTTTCTGCTTTTACAATAGACTTATTTCACTCAGTAAAATGCTTTCAAGGTTCTTCATTGCTAAAGCATGCATCAGGGTATCATTTCTCTTTGTGGCTAAGCAGTAGTCCAGTGGGTGTATGATAAGTCAAAAAGTATTGCTGTACAATCATGGGAAATATTTATTTTAAAATATCAAAATATGAAGCTCTTTTGTAGTACAACCAGGATGCTCCTTAGAAGCAAGGATGGTGAGAATTAACTTCACATACTTTAGGCATGTTGTCAGAAGAGACCAGTCCTGGAGCAGGACATCATGCTTGGTAATGTAGCAGGCCAGTGAAAAGAGGGAGACCTTTGATAAAATGGATTGACACATGGTTGCAGCAATGAGCTCAAACGTAAGAACATAAGAGGATGACACAGGCCTGGGTAGTCTTTTGTTCTGTTGTGCACAGGGTCACTATGAGTTGGAACCAACTTGATAGCACCTAATAACAACAACAACATTATGCCTTTATGTATCTTCCATTTTGCTCCAAATACTCCTGAAGTTTATCTTTCCAGCACTTTAACTATGATCCAAAATTTTGAACTGTTTGATTCATAACACATCAAGTGGCAGTTTTGGTTCACACAAGAGGCTCAAAATGTGCTCCTTTGAAACGCTCATCTTGTATGTTTTAGGGGGTGAGGTGGGAGAAGTTGAAAGGCAAGATCAAATCTGCTGGGTGGATGGAGTAAGGTTCTTCAAAGAAATTCTCTTAGGATAGCCTTTGCTGCCTTCGATAACGAGCAGGTACATTGCTCTGCTGAAAACAAAAACCTTAGGTCCACCTTTCTTGACCTTTTTATGCTTCAGGCCGAGCATTGGATGCTAATAGCAAGTTCAGTGATTCAAAATGTGGAAACAAGCCGAAGCTATCTGCTCCCATATAGATTTATAGCCCCAGAAACACTATGTAAGGTTGCTATGCGTCAGACTTCATGCACTCAATAGCATGGGTTTGAGTTTGGTTCTCACCAATATTTTCCATTTTCTTAAAATTCCATCCTAATTACCCCTATGATTACACTCTGTCCTTTGAAAAAATCTATCAAGATTACGTCTTTGAAATCCTAAAGAGTTTCTGGGCTGACCTCTTTGCTTCTGAATGTAACTGATGCAGCAGAGAGGCCAGCTGACAGATTGAACCATTTCCAACAAGATACTATACGTATAGACCGTACCAAATGTGATACACACTCAAACTGACTACAGTTATGAGAAGAGAGGGTGATAGAGCTCAATATAATCAGTCAAAACAAGGTAAAATAAAAAGTCCAGAGACCGACGGTTCAATAGCCCATCAATTATTCACAGGCAAGTTCAAATTGAAGCTGAAGAAAATGAAACAAGTTAACAAGAGACATGTCATATCCCATGTCCACCTGAATTGAAAGACTCTCAATAACTGGTTTGAGTCATTGGATGCTAATGACTAAAGAGCAGAGGAATATCATACATGAAGAAAGCAAACTTCAAAGGAAAGAAAGAAAAAGTGGTTGCCAGTAAAGACTCTGATACTTGCTCTTAAACCTAGAGCAGCTAAAGCAAAGGAAAAAAATTACAAAATTAAAGAGGTGAGCAGAAATTTTCAAAAGACTACTCAAGAAGACAAAGTATATAGTATAAGAACACATGCAAAACCCTGGAGCTAGACAATCATAAGAAGAAAACATGCTCAGCATAACTTAAACTGAAATGACGGGAGAAAAACTTCAAGTTCTGAGTGGCAACATTGAGGGATGCTATAGGCAAAATATTGAATGATGAAAAAAGCATCAAAAGAAAATAGAAAAGTAACCCAGAGTCACTGTGCCAAAAATGATTGGTTGACATCCCACCATTTTAAGAGGTAATATATGGTCAAGAATTGGTGCAACTGAAGGAAGAAGTCTGTGGGTTCTATGTAGTCATTACAACGGCTATGGGAACTTCAAGATCAAGTAGAAACTACTACTGAAACTACCCAGCTGCACAGGGGCATTAGCAAAAACAAAACAAAACTATTAATTGGCAAAGTACCAACTGAAATATATCAACAAATTGATACAGTGCTTGAAGAATTCACTAATCAATGCTAAGAAACTTGGAAAACAATTAGCTGGCCACAACCAGATTTGTGCTCATTCCCATGAAAGGAAAATCAACAGAATGTAAAAATCCTTGACAAATATTATTAATACTTCATACAAGTAAAAATTTCCAGAGGAAAATTAAAAGTGGATATAGTTTTACATTGATGGGAAGTTCCCAGAAATCCAAGCTGGATCCATAAGATGATGTGAAACTAGAGGTTTTGTTGGAACCAGAGCATGCTGGAAGCATGATTACTTTTGTTCTATTGATTGCCCAAAGGCATTCAACTCTATGAATCATGGTAAACTGTGACCAGCATTGTAAAGAATGAGAGCTCCAGAACACTTGTGTTTAGTTCTGACCCATAGCAACCCTATGCACAACAGACGGAAACATCGCATGGTCCTGTGCTAGCTTCTCAATTGTGCTCGGGCTGAACCCATTGCTAAAGCCACTGTGTCAATCCAACTCATTGGGGGCCTCCTCCTCCTTTGATGTCCTGCCACTTTACCAAGCATGGTGTCCTTCTCCAAGGACTGGTTTCTCCTGACAACATGTCCAAACTATGTAAGCCAAAGTCTTGCCATCCTTGTCTCTCAGGAGCACTCTGGCTTTACTTCTTCCAACACAGACAGGTTTGTCCTTTTAGCAGTCTATGGTACTTTCCAATATTCTTCCCCAGAACCACAACACAAATGCATTGATTCTTCTTGTCTTCCTTATTCACCAACTTTCACAAACATTTGAGGCAACGGAGAATACTACGGCTTGTGACAGACACACCTTAATCCTCAAAGTAACATCCTTGCTTTTCAATACTCTAAAGAGGCCTTGTGCAGCAGATTTCTCTAATGTAATACATCTTTTGGACTCTTAACTGCTGCTTCCAAGAGCATTTATTGTAGATCCAAGCAAGATAAAATCCTTCACAACTTCAACTTCAACTTCTCCATTTATCTTGATGTTTCCTATTGGTCCAATAGTGAAGATTTTGGTTTTCTTTACATTGACTTGAAGGGTACCATCCTTGATCTTTTCATCAAGTGATTTAAGTTCTCAAATTTAGCAAGCAAGGTTGTGTCATTTGCATATCACAGGTCATTTCTATATCTTCCTTCAATCCTAATGTCACATTCTTCTTCATATAATTCAACTTCTCTGATGATTGCTCAGCATAAAAATTAAAAAATTAGGGTGAGATGATACAACCCTAAAACACATCTTTCTTGATATTAAACCATGCAGTATTCCCTTGTTCTGTTTACACAGTTGCTTCTTGATCCATGTACAAGTTCCTCATGAGCACAATGAAGTATCCTGGAATTCCCATTCTTATCCAGATTATCTGCAATTTATTATGGTCCATACAGTGGAAAATTTGTTTTTGGGTAGTCAATGGAACATAAGTCAACATCTTTCTAGTATTCTCTTTTGTGCCAAGATCCACCCGCCATCAGCATTGACAGCCCTTGTTCCAATTCCTTTTCTTTAATTCAGCCTGGTATTCTGGCCGTTCCCTGTGGATATGCTGCTGCAATCCTTGTTGGATGACCTTAAGCAAAATGCTACTTATGTGTATAAGGCTTAGTTATGCTTCACTGAAACCTATCCAGAGAACAAGCGGCTCCTGTTTAAAAAGCACAAAGGGCTACAGTAGAGTTTCAAATCATGAAAGGTGTGCATCAGGGTTGTATTCTTTCACCATAATTATTATGTATGTTTAGCAAATAATCTGATAAGCTGCATTCTATGAAGAAGGACACAGAATCAATTTTGGAGGAAGGCGCATTAGTAGCCTGTGATGTGCAGATGGCACAACCATGCTGAAAATAAAAGAAATTTAAGCACTTTCTGATGAAAATAAAATTCTACAATATGGATGAAAGTGGGGGAATAAGACATAATGTAAAGCAAACAAAAATCCTCTCAACAGGGATAATATACAGCAACAACCACATCAAAAGAGAAAATATCGAAGTTTTCAAGGATGTCATTTTACTTGGATATACAGTGGATGTTCAAGGAAGCAGCAGTCAAGAAGTTAGGTGATGTATCGAATTGGGCAATTCTGCTGCATGAAGCCCCTTTCACATGTTGGAGAGCCAGGATGTCATTTTTATGACTAAGGTGTGCCTGGCCCAAGCCATGGTGATTTCCAGTCATCTCTTACACAGGTGACACTGG